GTAACTTTTCAATGAAATTCATTAACACATGAGCCCATGCTTGTGAAGGAATTGACAATGGCTATAACAAACTTGGATGTGGAACGAATTCTGCCTTGTAGTGTTGGCAAACATCGCAATAAGAAACCCAGGTGGTGATATCTGCATTAAGCTTGGACTAGTAAGAAATTGCTTCGTCTTTTGATACATATCTTGTATTCCTATATCGACTCGAAGTTAGTTTTGGCATCCAGATGTGTTATATACCTAAGAAGACCCTGTGCGGTTTTGCTTTGGGATTCATGGACGGTGCAATAACCAAACAGTTTGCATCTTGATCATCTTGGTAAGTTTGAGATACCTCTTGAGTCCAACTGGGAACAATCGTGGTAGTGTGGGCATTATGCCCTCCAATTGCAGAACATAAATCATGGTTATATAGATTATTGATTACCCTTTTCTCAATTCCCTCACTCGATGGGGTAATCAAACTCCAAGGGTTTGGTTATTTGTTTTTGTTGAATATATGCAAGGATTCTTTGCTCCAAGAGAGGTTTTACGCTCTGCTGATCAACCCTGAATCCCTCTATTTTGTCACTGCAGAATGATGGTTAATAGTTCCTTCCCGTAGATAGAAAGTTATGATTTGTCAAAGCCTTGTTGGTAAAAGCTAAAGGCCTCCATTCCTACACCCAAAAAGCTCGTATCCCCTTGTTACATGCAATTATAAATGATTGAGAAAAAATAGGCAGTGCCAGAATTAGTGCCTTGATCGTTGATTGCTTCAGGGCCCGAAATGCAAATGTGGCATTTTACGTCCGAAGGAAACTTTCCTTTTTCAACAGTTGTTGAGTGTTTCCTCATTATCTTGGAACCCTTGATGAACTTTCGATTATAACCGGTGAGACCGAGAAATACCCTTACTGATTTTACTGATTAAGAGTATGTCAAGCAACCATTACCACTTCAACCTCATGAACTTTTCAAGTCAACGGATTTTCATCTTATCTTTAACTTGAACCCTCACATGCAATTGTGTCTAATATGTATGAGTTGGCGATCAAAATTTGAAAGCAAGTAATTTTTGCTAGGCCTTTATCCTTTTCTAAAGTTCATTACGATTCTTATTATTTGGAACTTCTAGTTATCTAGGAATTTGATATCTTTATTTCCGTCTCAGCAAAGAGCTTTTTGTCCTCAAGTGATTGTCATGTCTTTCTATGATTGCATATCTCTTTATTAGTTCCTATTTGTGTTCCACAATTTAGTGAAAATGCACGTGGCGATTATGATCTTTTCGATAAAAAAGAAGGAACAATGTCTATTTTCGGTGGGAATTCCTTGGAAAAATCATTACATCAACTACAACATGAATAACTAAAAAAGGAAAGAAGAGGAAGGATAATTGAAGTTTTTCTTATGCTACATACAAATACTTTTATATACTCTTAACTCATCTAAAAGTAAAAAAATTGTGTATTTCCAAACATTTAGATCAATAAGTATGTATTATGGTTGAACTATAATAAGCTAATTTGTAGAATAGAGACTCGTTGAACTATGGTGCCCTGTTGCCCACAACTTATGGAGCATTATTTATGAGCTCTTAGGGATTAGTTGGGTGATTTCTGGGACTGTGAGGGGGGAAATCTGGGTTTGGGATGGGCTCACTTGCAAATGTAATGTTGCCAAATGATTCCTTTGACTGTTTTTTGGGTTCTTTGGAAAGAAAAAAATATTAGTCTTTGATGGGAAAGACTTAGGTTTGTATAAATTAAGAGATAGGTGGATTAGTTATTATGAGTCTAGTTTGCTGGGTCATGATATTATTAGGGATGAAGATTTTGGGGATATCATATACATACTAATTAATTTATAAATCTCTATGCTTACGGGTTGGTACCTTGTTAATAAACACGTTGCGGTTTTATTTCAAAAAAACAAAATACAGACTCGTTCAAATTTATCTTATGTGAGGAACCAGATTTGAACTGGTGACACGGAGATTTTCAATCCTCTACTCTACCAATTGAGCCGTTCCAACCATTCCTGAACTATCATCCTCATTTTACTAGATGATTTAGGTCTGTGCCAATTAAAGAGAAAGAAAAGTATTAAATTGAAAGTCTAAAGTCGGGGAGTTTTTTGGATCTTCAAAAAAGAATTTTGTAAGTTTCAGTATGCATAATGATGTGGATAGTACATTGGAGCATTTAGAAGGTTTAGCCACCGATCACATATTTCAATTAGTTATCCTGTTGTATTCCCATTGGCTCAATTAGTTCACGCTCCTTGCTTAAAGATGCATGAAACCTGATGAAGATATTAATGGATTGTAATTCTTCATCTACTCCCCCACTAACATGAGATTGTAGCCCCCGAGTTTCAACAAATGAAATTGAACATGAATTGGTGCCTTTGCATGCGCCAGGATGATCCCATACACCTAGACCGGTGATCATCTTGTGCCCGTTCGCTATTGTTATAGTATGAGGAGGTGCCTCCAGAACCCTCACTTGAACCTCCTTGGCTAATTGACAGTCTTAAACCTCTGGCTGCTTCCCCTATCAATCAAAATGATGATGTATCTATCATGTACATATCCCTCCGCCTCTAGGGTGTTTGATGACAACCTTCCTCTATAGCCAGCGTAGAAACCTCCTTTGGCGTTTCTTCAGTCTCTCCTTCTCTACATTCTCTTTTTTTTTTCCTTCTTCCTTACCTACTTCTTCTAAGGGTTCTAGTGCCAATAGCTGCTTATTCATGCATTAGTGCTGCAGAAAATGATGCTCCCCGCATCTTTAGTAGCTGTTTGAGGTCTTTGTGCTCAACGCTTTGAGGGAATTTGATCTTCTTGGTTTAGCATCAAGGAAGATTTGAGGATTTGTTATTGGCATTGGATTGCCAATTTACTATTGTATTATGAATGGGAGTAGGAATCTTATGGCTTTTCGCATGGCTTCAATAGCTTGGACTTGTAGGTTTTCATGTTCAAAGTTCTGGTCTAAGGTGAGAGGTTTCTACATTGTAAGCTAGAGATGAAGTAGCTTTTTAAGAGTGTAGGAACATTAACGACCTCAGTTCTTCAATCTCTCCTAGTAAGCTATGTGTGATCCTTTTTGTTGGAGATTGATACATTCTTCGATGAAATCTGTGGAGGTCGGTTCTTCAGATCTTCTGTGTAGCTTTTCCACAAACTCTTACCACATGCAAGTCCCTTGAGCTGCTTGGCACTGTTGAAACCAAGTATCTGCTTTCTCTCCTAAGGACAAACCAGCCAACTCAACTTTCTTCTTTCGGTGTTGCATAACCTTTCAAGGAGTACTCATAACCCACATGCTTCTAGAAGATTCAATGTTGCTGCTACTTTCCTCTAGCTCTCTAACTCCAGAACTGGGGAGTATCCATGCCCCGTGTTTAATGAAGTGTGTGAGTACCTGGGCTTGTGGTTGAGAAGGATCTGATGGTCTATTCATGGAGTGCATAATTCCACTAACTATTAGAATCTTTGCTCCAGTTGGTTTTGGTTCTCTTGATGCATATTGTCGAGTCATTTGGCGGTAGCCATAGGAAGCCATACATTTTAGTCATGTGATCTTGGAGCTGTCAATCAATTTTCCTCATTGTGTTGTCCAGTGTTGTAGGTGCCAATTATTGGTCACTGTGGACTTTTCCTTCTTTGCCAGTTTGATGATTGACGTTAAGCTTTCTTCGGGTTTGAGCTGTTCTGATACCAGATTGTTGGGTCCTGACTTCATGCTTGTCAACATGGCAACTTACACATATTACAAATAGATGAAATGAGCAGAGAAGAACCATAAATAGGTGATAGAGAGAATAGATAGGAGAGAAGGAAATAAAGAAACTTAGTGGAAAAAGGAGTAGGCCAGGAAAATTAGAAAGAAGATTCAGAAAGTAGAATGAGATAGATATTGTTCACTAACTTTTTGCTGGCCTAGGATCTTGGAGCACAAGGCCTAAATGGTAATAAAAAGGAAGGTTTTCGTTCCTACACTTGTGGGGCTGGTGGCAGTATTGATAGAGATTATCTTTTTTTTTTTCTAAAATAAAAAGTGTATATGTATATTAGTATAAGCACCAAGGGGTGCAAACCATGTACAATTATTTACAGTTCAGTCCTCCACACAAAACAGGACTCTAAGAGCCTTACAAAACATAGGAGGATGACCAATCAATAAAAGTTCTAGGGTCCTAAACCATCTATTTTTAAGAACATCAAAACCCTTTGCAACATTAATGCCATCAAATACTCTTCTATTCCTTTCCTTCCAAACAGTCCAAATAAGTGTGAGCAGAATCAGATCAGCAAAGATACATCTGTCTTTAAGGTATTCCCAAGCCCATAACTCTTCCTTAACTGATCCCACCCTCACCCAACTAATCCCAATCAAATTATACACCATTTAATCAGGTAGAAATTGATAGAGACTATCTACTTGCTGGTAAAACAAAAACAGAAAGTAAGAAACTTCTCTCTTGTGCCGTAATTGAAGCAATCACCATTCAAGCTTCTTGATGATGCTGGGTTTCAACAAGGTTGAAGAGCCTAGACCAATTCTATCAATTGATATCACAATTTTCGACTGTACCTTGATTGTGCTTTTGCTTTGAAGAGATCCAACGAGAAAAAGTTTTGTGGTAGTTGAATAAACCTTTTTAATGGTTGTGGGTAAAATTATATACCATTTCAGAGGTATAGGAAGAAAATGGTTTCAATTAATCTCAGTGTTCCAATCCATACATGGTAAATGGTGTCAACTCTTCTGAGTTGGTGGATCATTTCAGCTAGCTGTCCTTTTCTTTGATGGTTTTGGTTGAACATGTTTTTTATGTCCTGCTGTAATTTATTTCAGTGTGTGCATTCCTCATTGCAAATCAATATCTTCTATTAACATTTCATTTGATAATATATTACCTTATATTACTTTGTTTGAGCTGGCGTGGTGTGTAGAGTATTCTGATCAAATCTTTATCTTTTCTTCTGTGCTTTTGCTATACAGTCGTGAGTTCACTCATCGTGTTAAGTCTGTATCTATGGCTAAGTTTACTTCTCAAGAAGTTGAAGCACTTCAAAATGGTGGTAATCAGGTAGAAATGAAGTTTTGTTCTCTTCTGAAAAGTAGGTAAATTATCTTATGATGACGAGAAATTTGCTTCTTTCAGCGTGCAAGGGAAATGTATTTGAAAGATTGGGATCCACAAAGGCAGAGACTTCCTGATAGCAGGTTGGAAATGTGTGATTTGTTGCATAAGGTTTTGACTTTCTGTGGAAATGTCTGGATTTTTCTTGCTCACTATCTATGTAATCTTTTTGTCATCTTTTTTTCTTTGTAGTAATGCTGATAAAGTTCGTGAATTTATAAAGAATGTCTATGTGGATAAGAAGTATGCAGGAGGGAAGACCTCTGACAAGCCTCCTAGAAGTGCACAGGTAAGATGACCTTAAACCATTCAATCTCTTATAACTAATTTTGACTAAAACTTCATAAAATAAATTCAACTAAACCTATGGGTTGCTGAATTCTGTTCTAAAAGCTAAAACCTTTAGAACTAGAAGCAAACAAGTGCAGGTTATGATACATTTGCTACCGCAGTTTTTTTTTTAGTTTTTCTTCAGGCTGAATTACAAGCATAACATATGATTATTCATAAATGAAATGGAACAGAACCATAGAAGCTTTGAGGAAGAGACAAGACGTGCTAGTTCCTATCATTCTTACTCCCAAAGTCCACCTTATGATTATCAATATGAAGAACGTCGTTATGGAAAACAAGCTGCTGTCCTCAGTAGGACCCCTGGTTCAGATCGAGGCTATTATGCTGCCAAGCTGTCTAGTTTTGCCTATAGTCCTAATCACTCGAGTGATCAGATGTACGAAGACAGGTTTGCTAATGAGGGCTCTGTTTCTAGGGTCTCAGACTATTCTGTGTCAAGTGGAGGTGATCCCTTCAGATGTGGTACAGAGTCTCCAAGTTTCCAAAGAGATAATGGAATCAGCAGCCCACCTGTTGAGCCTGCAAGGGAAATTTTGAGTTCAAACGGACAACATCAAACAGTAGATTTATTTTCAGAGGCAAATTTTAGAAGAGAAACAGATGGAACTCCACACCCGCAGGTCGTATGCTTAAAAAATTACTCTTATTAATACTATAAATTTTGGATTCCAAATTTTATATTACGTTCCAACTATGCTTTGGAAGTTGAAATATCTATTGTCTTTAGAGTCTCATTTGAGATTTATAACTCCTGACTTGATATGTTATTTTGTCAAATACTCGGCATGATGATCAGATTTTAACATGTAAACTGAGTAACTGTTCTAGTCCTTCAGTTGATATACAAATGTGCCTGCATGGAGCATATGCAGAGGTGTATTTATCCAGACCTGGTATTTGCATTTGAATCCTGTATCTGGGCATGTGCATGGGGCGAAATGGCCCCATAAAAAATGCAACTAGCCCTCCTCTTTTCTGTTTTTGGTTTGCTTGCATTTTCCTTCTATTTGGTAGTGCCCCATACTTTTGCATTGTTAGTGTTGATTGTTTTATTGTTTGATCAAGTTTTAATTTTTTTCTATTGGCTGGAATAAAATTATTCTTTCATTCAGAGAACCACATCAATGGAAAATGTTCGATCATTTGATGGCAACTCCATGTCTCTGAAGTCATATAATTCAGGTAGTTTTGGGGATGCTGTCTCTGGACCTGAACAACCTGTTGGAACTCCCCAAACTAGAAAACCTACTTCCCCACGAGCATCTCCTCCTGTGAATTATGGAGGCTTGGACCTTTTTAGCTCATCGGTTATACCAGAATCAAATTCCACTGGGGTTGCTGCAATTGATTTGTTTCAGTTACCAGCAACATCCGCAGCTCCATCAGCAGACTTTTTCCATCCAGCCACAATATCTTCATCTTCATCAATGAATTCTTATCAATCTTCTCAAACGTACCATCCTTTTTCTATAGACCTGTTTGCTGATACTACTGAGCAGCAGCCACCTGTAAAATTGCCAGGGTTTTCTATTCAGAATAATGAAGGATGGGCAACTTTTGATACTCAGCCGGCAGCATTCCAGGGAACTGAAAATATAACCCCTGCTGAAGTGTCCAGTGGTGGAGATTCTGTAATGAAGTTTGATCCCTCAAAAGAAAATGCAAATGTGCAGTGGCCACAATTTCAGCATTCAAGTGCTGATAACCCTCGCTTATCAATTTCTATTCCAGGGCAAGAGAGTTTATCTGGTGTTGGAGATTCTTCAACTAAGTTTGATCAGGTCTCCATGATAAATGCTAATATGCAGTTGGCAAGATTTCAGCATTCAAGTCCTGACAAGCCTGTTTCTTCAATTTCTAGTCCAGGGCAGAAGGGTTTATCCAGTGTTCAAGCTCCTCCTGTTTCAATAACTACTCAGGTCAGTTATCTTTTATGGTAAAGGATTCCTTCTTTAATTCTTATTTGCAGTGTTTTTTTATTTATATTTAAAAAATTGTTTTGCAGTTTTGGGAGGTAAGCTTAGGAACTCGGCTTCATGTCATTGGTTTTCTGGATATTTTGTTTCGTATCTGGCTTTCTATTTAAATAGAGCATAGAATTCTACATTAAAAAAAAAGAGCATAGAATTCAACCAGAAGGGTTGCAGTTGAGTTTATTGGTTTCTGTTTGTCTTTGAACAGTCATGGAATGCCTTTGATGATTCCACCGCAAACTTCTCGTTGGGGGGCATTAAACAAACTGGTGAACTACCCACAGCATCATATGACCATTCATTAACTGCCAATCAACATTTGAGCTTCGAAGGCTTAGAGGTTCTAAATTTGTCATCTTATTCTGTTGGAATGTCTCTTCTTTCATTTTTTCTCAAATTAATTTGGTTCCCAGGACTTCAGCAATGATGGGATTCAGTCAACTGCATCCTTTGGTGGTTCTTGTATAACAGCAGACATCACTATGGAAGCATCATATACTCAACCCATGGTTCCTCCCATGGTTTGTACTTTCACATCTGTGACCCTTTTGTTTTCTTTAATTTTTCACAGCAATTACGAGTTACTTTCTGCGACTGTCACCTTTTGAATAGGGAGAAAGCAAGATGCATCTGAATGGCTATAAATCAACAAATCCATTTGATCTTCCTTATGATTCTGATCTGGAACAGAACAATATGGTATGTCTAAAATTTCGTCATGTTGATAGTTTGACATGAATCAATAAAACAATTAGATATTTGGTCAAAATATGTAATTGCCCTGAAGTTGAATAACCTTATTTGAAGTTAAGGATAAGTTCTGGACCCGGGTAAGAGATGATACAATCACTCCCCCAAATCGTTTCAATATCACATTATACTGGATTGTAGGTATTGTAAGATGATATTGAAGCTCAATGGTGTGTTTGTGAGAGGTTAAGTTCTTTGTTTGTATTTTGTTTGTTTTTTATCTATATATAGTTTTTTATTCCTTTGCAGAAATTGCATGGTCATCTTCAGGTTTAATTCTTAAAATTAGGACATAAAACCTTTCAATGGTAACCAACCTCCGTTATCCGGATAAGTTTTTTTTTTTAAAAAAAGTATAAGTGAGCGACATGAAGATTAGAACTTACTGGTGAAGTTTGGTTTGTGTGCAATTATATCAGCACTAATGCATCAGATTTCATCAGAACTATGCAGTTAAGCATGTTTGAACGAGAGTAGTACTAAGATGGGTGACTTCCTGGGAAGTGTTCGTGTTGCACCCGTCTTTTAATTTGGGTCATGATATTAAAGGGTTCGAGGATGTTGGAGCTGTGTTTGATATTTTGATAGATTGGTAACCACTTTGTAAATGGGAGTACCTACTTGGTACTTTTGTTAATAACACTACTTTTATTTAAAAAAAAAATTGGTGAAGTTTGGTTTATGTTTCTTTATGCCATCAGGCTAGTGTCTCTGCAACTCTTGCTCCTCTGATGTGGGACAAATTAGGGTTGATTTGCCTACTCAGGGATTTGGGTATAAAACATATAAAATTCTTAATCATCGTTACTCAAGGGTTTGATTGCATCATACAACTAAAAATATTGAGAGAATTCTTGAAAAACTTTTTATTGAATAGTTGGGCTTCTTATCAAATAAGGTATAGGCTCTCTTCCCTTAAGGAAATTCAATTTATACAAGAAAGTGGTTTTGAAATCTTTTGAAACGAGAATTAAATTAAGAAAATCTAATACTAACAAAAATAGGAAAATTAAGTACTTCAAAGAAACAAATCCCTAAAGTTAGTAAAATTATAATAAATAGACTCCTACATAGACAATAGGTCTATATTTCAAAGAATTATAATTTTTGATATGTTATAGTACAATAGTTTGGTTAAGGAAACTCCTTTTTTTTTTCTTAAATGTTTTTTTTTTCATTCTAAGATTATGACATCTTAAGTATGATGTAGGGAGTTAATCACTGCTAGAATTTACATATGAAATCAGGCTGCATTTTTCCATATCATTTGGTAAGGAGTTGTTACCTGGTACCACTGCTAAAATTTTTATCTGGAATTGGGCCTCAGTGTTCTCTATCATTTGGTAACGGGGTGTTGCCTGGGCATGTTGCCGTTGTGTATGCCAGTTGATTATTACTGTTACTGCGAACCAAACCTTATTGAATTTGTTGATTGTAGAAAACAATATTCTGACTGATTCCAGTAAATGAGTGTCTGGAGGTGGGTTTTCGGGTTTTTGTTTATAAGGTTTTTTTTTTTACAATCTGCTGAGTGTTCTTTGGTGGCATCATATAATGGATTACTACAGTTCAACCTTCATAATTATGGGACCAGAAAGGTGATTGGGGTATGACTAGATCTTCTCCATGCTTCAAACTGAAACCTTGATACATGGAGAGACACATCAATTAACAATCCCAGAGTTCGAGATACAATTCCCGCAAATAGAATCAGTTCTCTCTGTAAGTGTTGCCAAAATATCAAATAATGCAGTATATGACAAATTTTTCTTACGCTAGACCAGATGACAATTTCCTTTCTTTTTTTTGGAAAAACATGAGAAACATGAAAAGATTTAGATATAATCCTGAGAAGGATATTATAAAATAAATTTGATTCTCATGATCAATATACCTCAAACATGAAATTTATTGTATAAATAAATCAGAAAGGAAATTTTAAGAAGTGCATTCTTTTCAATATTCAACACTTAAAAAAGTGAAATTCATTATAATTGATAATTATATTTATAGACCTCTGGGAAAAATGATATTGTTAATTGCATGCTGGCTTCTTGTTTCTAGTGCATTGTAGTTTCATTGGAATGAGTGCTGTCTGCTTATCAATGGACTTAGGGCATGTGTAACACCTTGTATTGACACATAAAGAAGGTTTTACTGTATGTAGAATGAATGCCCCACCAAGAGTAGTTTTTTTCTTTTTTGCTTCAGAAGCAGAAAGAGAATGTATCTTGACCATTGGTAAACTTATGAGAATGGGAAAAATTCTAGCGAACGGATGCTTTAGGTGCAAAAGGGATGCGGAGTCATGTAATCCTATTCTTTTATGGTGCCTGGTGGTCTACAGTTTATGGCAATGACTTATGTTTACTGGGAATTAATTGGGTCATTGCAGGAACCGTGAGAGATGAATTATGGGCTTGAGAAGGTATTAGTAGGGGGAGGAAAATTGTAAATTTTATTCCACTTACTATTTTTTGGGTGGTGTGGAAAAAAAGAAATAAGAGAGCTTTTGAAGTAAGTGAAGGAGAGATTATGAAGATTGGGGATAGATGATTGCATTATTTGGGTTTAATAGGGTGGAGGATTTTGGTAAATTTATTGATATATTGACCGAACTATAAATATTTTTTGTAAATGGGTGGCATCTCTTTGGTGTCTTTGTGTTAATATACACCTTATATATATATATATATTTTTTTTAAATGTTTTGGTGCAGATGCCTAATTGGTTCCTTGATTTTGGACAAGAGCCAGCATATTCTGGAAAAATATTTGTTTCTTTTTTCTCTATCCCTGACTTACACCTTGAGTTATTTAGGTATACTAGTTATATGATACATGCATTGACATGATTACTGAATATGCATCATCAATAGCTAAGATGACAGGCTTAGGCTGCTATACATGTTGAATTTTATCAGTGATTGCCAAGATGGTTGTGAAATAAAATAAAGAGAAAAGTTATATTTTTAGAAACTGATGAGTGCATTAGTTGATAGAGATCAACTTTGATGGTCCATTAGAAATATTCAAAAACTTATGAAGTAATATCCATAGTGATGTATTATTTGTGGACTTATATATATCATTATGTGGAAGTTCTTATACGGAGAGAACTTTACAAATCTAGAACATTTGAACCGAGTGAAAAAATTTTGCCACCCACTTTGGTGTACACCTCTTTCCTTAAGGAATTTAATACTTATCAAACAAGCATCTTTAGATTTTGAGACAGTTATGAACCAAATTAGTAGATACATTTTCTCAAGCCGTAACAAGAGGAAATTATACTGTTTTATATTCTCAAGTGATAAAACTGATATGGAAATAGGATTTGCCTGTAGGCACCAATCAAACAGCTCCCCTTTTTCTCCTCCCTCCTCTCCAAATGTTGGGCAATAGAATACATGACTTACAAAATATTATGTGTATGGTTTTGTGTTTGTTTTGTAATTTTTTATCCTTGTATGTATATTATGGCAGTTCTTGGACATGAGTTCATTGCAAGCTGCACTGCCTGATGCCCAGTTGCCGTCCACCTTTGTTGGTGGTGTGTCACAACCGTGGTTTCATCAAAACACAGTTAGCTCTTATATTCCAGCAGTTCCACAAGGTAAATGATCTTACATGTAGACTCTTACCAGAGGATCTAAGCATTTTTCTTGGTTACTCATTTTGGGAGTGTTTTGCGGGAACTCTTTCTGTTAACTTTTTCTTGGTGACTTAAAGCATCACTTATGGACCAGTGATGAGAGACTGAAAGCAATTTAAAAAATTTCAAACTGCTACTTTCCTCTTATTTCTCAAAGGGTTCCTTTGGTTTTCCAGGTGGCTTAACGTACATGGGAGGGCAAACATCAAGTTCTCAACTATTGTAAGTTGGCACTCCATGTAAATCTGTTGGAGGTTGTTGTAACCATTGCTTGTATCATGCAATTTGATTTACTTAATGATTTTGTGACGTTTAAATTTTGTGACATTTAATCAATCTGATGAACTTTGGTTATCTATTTTAGAATGAATAACCGATTTTGGGTATTGAAGAAGTGAAGGAAAAATAAAAACAAAAAATGGTGAACTCGTGCAGATCCATAGGATCATGGTTTTTGCAGGACATTCTGCAAGAAATCCATTGATTGAGATAGATGTTTGCGTTCTCTGTCAAATATTTCTTGGCATCTCACAATTCTGCTGATTGAAGATTGCCTTTCCTGCAGGAATGTCCCAGCACAAGAGCATGTTGCTTCTATTGGGGGAAATCCTTTTGCTTAAGGATTCTCTACTAGCGAAGGGCCCTTTCCTCTTGGTAATATAATCTTGAGTAACTAATTTTAGCTGCTCTTCCACACTGTAAAATCCAAAATTGTTGCGGGTATTGTTTGTGTTTGTATTCTTTGTAATAATAGAATATGTGCGGCTGTCAAAATCCCTTGTTGCTTGGTGTATCGAAGGTCTCCATATGTGTGTGCTAAATTATTTTAGAGTTAAGGTAGCTATAGAAATTTAATTTGTTACTTTTTCGAACCAACAGAAGTGTACTTTTAGTTCAGTCAGTGTTAAAGTTCTGCTGGATATTAAGATGCTGTTAGCTATTCATACTGGCTATAGTTTGGATTGTCAATTTCATCTTAATGCATAATTGGATCATATTGATATATACAGTTTTGTAATGCTAGATCTGAGATTTCACTTGTCAACTATTGAATTGTAAAAACATTTTGTTGGATTCAGATGTAAAGATTTCACTTGTAAAATTTTTGGAATCAGTTTTACCAGTGGCTCAATCATGGGTAAGGAGGACTTTGTTAGGTCTAAAGTCTCTGTATACTGCAGTCCACTCAGCAATCTTCGTGAAGATATCTCAAACCTCTACCAGCGCCTATGGCAACCTTCATCCTATTATTACAACCAATCGCATCATTTGGATCTATCATTGCTGATAAACATATAGGTGATGGCGAGAGTAACTGAAAACCTAAATGATAGCCAGAAATGATAGAGAGAACCAGGAATGACTATTCAACTAGGTTACCACACAAATGCTTATCCAAGGAACCACTAGAGGCAAACTTGTAAACAAGAAGCCATACTTTTTTGAAGCAGTAGCCAGCCAGCATTACCAGATTTCTGTGTTGTGCAGAGCTCAAAACTGCAACCTCAGAGCAAAATTCAGATGTCCCTTGTGGACTTAAACATTTTCTTCTGCTTCACAGCAATGACTTGCCCATGAAGCAAGACTCCTTTATATACAGGGCCATGTTCCCCTCTTCTAACAAATTCTCACTTGAGAATCCATTGTAGTGAAGCAGAAGAAGAGGAAGAAGAAAACCATTCAACTAATAGGTTATATACAACAGAATATATTTTGGTTTTGTTTTCACGATATATTCCAGATTTGTAATTATTAACATTTAACCTGTGGGTTAGTGAAAGAGAAAAAAAAAATAAAAAATAGGATTTTAACTTGAGGCTTTTTACCAGGCAAAACTTTAATTTGGGCATAGTTATTAACTTCTGGAACCGCAGCAGAGCAGAACAGGCAACCACTGATATTAGATTGACAAAATGAAGATTGAAACAAAAAACTTTTATCGCATCTTTTCTAATGCTTCAGTTAGGATAAGAGAAAAGTTGTGAAATGTACTATACAAATGAAATAAACACAGACGATAAAATGTATTCTGACTATCTGGACCAAGTATGAATAGTCTTTTGTTCTACAAATATTTTTGTTATAGCAATTTCTTTAGACCGAATTGATCTGTTATAGCAAGATTGGTTTCGATTCACAATGTAATTTTGTATAATTTGAGAATTGTAGTTATAGAATTCTGATCCTGTACATAACAAACAGAAATTCAGAACTTTTTTGTTGTTAATTTGTGAAAGCAAAATAATACATAATTCACACCAGATATTCCAAAAGTAATTATTGATTTGAAGACTACAGAACAAGCGTGTATTATATTTTACAACAGAATATCTATTCAATACTACAGAGAGCTCATCAAGCAACCCTTGTAATAAATTGATAAGGCATAGTATGCTATAAGCAAACCAAATCCATTATACGTTCAAAAAGCTTAAACCATGAAGGCAAAGGTAAATCCTAATTGATAAGACACATCTTTCCTTTTTTCTACTCTAAAACTCAGAATCCAAAGTCTCAATACCCCTTAATAAGTATCCAAAAAAGTAGGTTAAACTTATTAATTTGTACATGTAAAAAGTTCTGATAGTTGCTGGACTAGGTGTCCAGCTGACCGAAGTACCTGCCTGAAATTGTGGCCAAAATATTTAACATTATCACCTCATCATCCGCTTCTGACTTCCCAGCTCTAAGGCTTGCACACTTGCGAAGCAGGCCACGAATAGAAGCAGAAGTATCAGCATCAAGTGGAGTATCAACTGCTGCACACAGAGCAAATAGCCAAGCACATTCTTTCTTTGATAGGCTGCTCATTGCCTCTATTGAGTTTATACGTTTCCTAAGTGTTGAAACTCGAGTTACAGAGTCCATTCTATGAATTGCAGATATGGTTGGATAGTCACCAGATCTGTCACCAACAGAAGCTTTAGGATTTGGATTTTTATGACAAGGTGAAGTTTCATTTTCTTTAGCAGTTGAATTTGGCTGATCAGCAGAGCTTTCAAGGCTGGAATCATTGGAGATGTGGGAAGTCTCGATTTCCTGAGTAGTTGAATTAATAAATTTCTCAACAATAATATTTTCCATTAGCTGACAAAAGACATTCTCCTCATTAGCAGTAACTATAGGTTGTATTCCACCAGAAGCTTCAAGGCTTGAACCCTCCAGATGCGACAGAGACTGGCAAATAAAGAGAAAGCAGTCTCTTCAATATGAAATTCTTCTCATCAAATTTCATATATTCTATAGAAAAAATTCTTTTCAGTTTATGAAGAGACTTGAAAGAAGAAAGAGTATCTTTCATTCAGAATCTGAAATAAGTTCTTTTCTTCTCATTTTGAAAATGAAGTTATGCCACAAAATGGTTCTTGAAACAAAAAGAACAATGAATTTGGGTAGAAGCACATACCAGTCTTAGCTCAGAAAAATCAGACAGAAATTCATCCTCCCACTCTTTCAGTGGTAAAAGATGTTCTGGACACTTAGCAATTTCAGGAATCTGGGGCATATATACACTCTGTTCTTTCTTATTTTCACATTTATCAAGTTTGGCCACCTTGACTTTTGGAATCTGAGCAGCTTCCCACCTGAGCAGGAGAAGGAAATCCTTTAATTGTTTTTCATGGAATCTAAAAAGGATACATAAGATGGTTACCCTTGTATATTAAATATGGTCCAATTTTAAAAAATTTCCATAATTATAGAACATAAAATTATCTAAATGGCTCTCTGACAGCAAAGCTGGTCAAAATAATTTGTATGGACAGTTTGTAATCAAGTAGAACTCTATAGATATCAAGCATCATCAAGATCAATCATATTCCATAAACTTCTGTCTTTCTCTTTAAGAAGTTCCTAAGCAACATATATCCTTGAAACTCAAATACTACAGTATGCAATTTCATCTAGATATTAAGGAAAAAAGAATTTTGACATAGGACAAATAGAAATTAATTTGTCTACTTAAAATTTTAAGATAAACTTTAATATTAATATTAGAGTCATCAGGTATTACATCTATGATTTGATTAAATCACACAATTGATTATTAAAATATTCTCAAAGTGTGTCATTGAATAATTTATTGATGATCTCAGGAAAATTACAAATGTATTTATATAGAGTGCCAAGTAAGTTTTTTATGGGTATGATTTAGAAGGTCTATGACCATGTTAGTTGAGATTTTATTGACTACATGCTTCGAAAGATGAGTTTTGGTGCGAAGTGGAGACGGTGGATCAAGGAGTGTATTACTAGTACATTCTTTGTTGTTATGATTAATGGTTGTCCTTCTTCATTCTTCAACGTGTCCCGCAGCTTAAGGCAAGGTGACAACTTTTCACCTCTTCTCTTTATCACCATTATGAAAGCCATAAACAGGATGTTAGAGAAGGCTAAGGAGTGTGAACTTTTAGAGGCATGTGGGTGGGCAAAAACAATCAATAAGCGGAAGTGTCTCATCTTTTTTTTTTATTGGGGATGATATCATGATTTTTTGCCAACCGGTTGAGCAAATGGTATGAATTTGAGGGCTGTACTCTTATGTTTCCAAGCTGTTTCAGGATTTAATATCTTTTTTTTAGACATGTTTAAGGATTTAATATCAATCTTGATAAGTCAGAAATGGTCAGTTTTCGGAGGAGGGGTGATGAGGAAGCTTTTGTTGATGGGGTGCAGAACGGCTAAACTTCCTTTAAAATATCTGCGAGTGCCTCTTGGTGCGAGGTAAAAAGAGAGAGGAATTTTGAGAGGAGATTGGCTAATTGGAAACGGAACTTGTTATCCAAAAGGGGCAAGCTTAATCTTGTAAAAAGTACTTTATCAGATATTCCCATCTATATTTTATCAGCTCTTACAATTTCTGTCATGGTTGCTAAAAAATTGGAAAGAATACAATGCCGGTTCCTTTGGAGGGGAGATGATGATGATAGAAGGAGATATCATTTGGTGAATTGGGAGGTTAAAAAGTCGATGGGTGAGAAGGGCTTGAGCATTAGGTCTTTTGTCGAAATGAATAGGGCTTTACATGACAAGTGGTTGTGGAGATATCTTAATGAGGAGTATAGGATGTGGAAGAGGATTGTTGAGGCGAGATGGGGTAAATGGAGTGGAAGAGGCTGTTGGAGCAGTATGGGGGGTCCCTATGGTAGCGGGTTATGGAAAAAAATCAGCCTTTATGGTGCTAATTGGTGTAATTTTGTTAAATGGAATCTGGGTAGGGGAAACAATATACTTTTTTGATTGGATGATTGGGTTGAAGAGGGATGTCTCAAGGATTGTTTTCCTAGAGTTTATGCAGTTGCCCAGAATAAAGGTATTTCCGTGGAAGAGGTCGTGGTGGCGTAGGAAATGGTGGAGGGTGGAACGTGGTAGTGACTAGGAATCTCAATGAATCGGAGGTGGAGGAATATGAGAATTTGCTTATTTTGCTTTCCAAGGTTTGTGTCAGCATTAATAATGATAAAATGAGTTAGGAGCTCAAGAAAAATGGGAATTTTTCTGTGAAATCTTATTATGAGTATATTATGGCAGAGAATGGCAGCAGACAGCTTTGTTTCCCAGCCAAGCAGATCTGGAAAGTGCAGGCTCTGCCTACAGTTGTTTTTTTTTGCTTGGGAGGCCAGCAGAAATTGCATACCGACAAGCGACAACATAGATGAAAAGAGGAAAGCTGATGGTGAATAGATGTTATATGTTAAAAGGGAGGCTGAAACATGCAGTCATCTTCTTCTCCACTGCGCAGCAGTCCAGGACATATGGTTTATGATATTTAGCCTGTCAGGAGTACAGGTACCATCAAGGAGGAGCTGTGGGCTTGGGCTGGGATTGATAAAAAGAATAAAAGGTTGACTAAACTAATCCCTTTGACTATTTTGTGGATCATTTAAAATAAAAGGAATAGGAGAGATTTTAATGGGATGGAAAGTGACATGACTAAAATTAGAGATAAATGGTTCTATCTTTTTGCTTCTTTATTAGTAGAATGTGATTTGTATAGAGCGAAAGATTTTGGATATATGATTGATTGCCTATTCAATAAGTAAATAACTTTGTAAATGTGCTGCATCCGCTTGGTATTTTGTGAATATATTCTTCCTATTTATTTTTAAAAATAGGATATGATTTATACAAAGAAAAATTACTAAAACTAATAAAATAACATTACTCCAATAAGATAGAAGATACTAATAATAATAAGATTAGACATGGATAAGGGTTTTGACATGGAGAAGACTTATGATCATGTTGCTTGGAATTTTCTATTTCATATGATAAAGAGGTCAAGGTTCGAGATCAAATAGCAAGCTTAGATGAAGGCATGAATTACTTCTTCCTTTGTTGTTTTGGTGAATGATGCCCTTCTATTTTTTTAAGACCTTTAGGGCTTTAGACAGAGTTACTCCTTTGCTCCCTTGCTCTTTATCATCCATATGGAGGCCTTAAATAAATTGTTGCTCAAGGCTAGGAACGGAACAGGTGGAAGTAAAACATCTATTCTTTGTTGATACCCCCGTATTCTTTGAGCCAATTGACATCCTCAATGTCATTTGGGTTTGGTATGCTTTCAGGCTGTCTCAGGCCTTGAAATTAACAAAGCAAAGTCAGAGTTAACTCAGTTGGGAGACAATGAGGCAAAGAATTCGGCTAATATTTGAGAAGGAAACATGTCAATCTTTCGATTAAGTATTTGGGTCTTCCCTGTGGGTAAAATTTAAGGATGCATTATTCTAGGACCCAGTGGTCAACAAATTCGAGTCTCATTTGGCAGGACGGAATATTGGTTTACTGCCCAATGGTGGAAGACTTACCCTCTCCAAGAGCTGTTGCTAACATTCTCAAGTTCATGTCTTTGACCACCATTCCAGTGAGTGAAGCCAAGAGGTTGGAGGCAATTCCACACCGATTTTTATGGGGCGACTCAGATGATAAGAGAAGGTCTTACTTGGTGATGTGGGATATGGTGAAACAACCATTTCAGAGGGGTAAGCTAGGAGTGAGATTTTGGTTGAGTTCAACTCGACTCTCCAAGGAAAGTGGCTTTGGAGGCTCATGTGGGAGCAAGGTAGCTTATAGAGGAAAGTGACAGTGGTTGAGTATGGAGTAGAATCATGTGGCTGGTATGTCAAGAATTCGAGGGGTTCACATGGCTCAAGGTTGTGAAAGAGAATCAATAGGGCAAAGGTGAATTCGAGAAATGCATCAGTTGGAAAACTGGGCCAGGGAGAAGATGAGTGTTTGGAGGGACGATTAGAATATAAGGGGCTCTATACTTTCAATTTCCTCCAGTCTTTGTCATTGCCGAGTATAAAGAGTGCCGTGAAATTCTACTTGGCACTCCCTTATAGGAGCACTTGGATTGTTGAATTATTCAAGAACTTGAATGATTGAGAAATTGATGATTACATAGAACTTTTCAATTTGCTTTCTCTAGTGGTGGTCTCCAATGAAATTTAGAATGAACCTTTTTGAGGCTTGAATTCAGACTTTTCTCAATCAATTCACATTACATGCATTTGACCAAAGGAGAGGGTATATGATAAGTTCCCTTTGAGAATGATTTGGAAAATGAAAGCAAGCCCTAGTATCATGCATTTATAATGATGGTTGAAATGTTTGAGAACCGGTTTGCGAATTGGAAGAGGAACTTCTTATCAAAAGGTGGAAGATACACTCTCATCAAAAGTACACTTGCTAACATTCCAATATACTATCTTACCACCCTAACTATACTGGTCAGCATTGCAAAAAGATTGGAATCAATTCAATGTTGCTTCTTATGGGGGGGAATGGTATTGAGAAAAGAAAGTATCACTTGGTTAGATGGCCAGAAGTTCAAAAAACCTCATAACATGGACGGTTTGAATATTAGATCTTTGGTCCATATGAAAAAGTCTCTTCAAGGCAAGTGGCTGTGGAGATTCTTCAAGGAAGAGGACAGATTATGGAGAAAGGTAATAGAAGCTAAATGGTGCGACCTTGATTTTGCTAGGGAGGGTTGCCGTGACAATAGGGGCCATGGCTTGGCATTATGGAAGAATATCAAACAGGGCTGGCCGAGATTTACAGAGTATATCAGCTGGAAATTGGGTAGGGGAAACTGCATAAGGTTTTGGCATGATGAGAGTCTGGATGGAGGATACTTGAAAACTAGATTCCCTAGAATATATGTCATTGCACAATCCAAAAACATAAGAATTGCGGAGGCATATGCGACGTAAAATGGAGGTTTGTCCTGGACAGTGAGTGTCTCTAGAAATTTAAATGATTGAGAGGTTTTTGATTATGAAGAGGTTTTGAGGCTGGTCTCACAATGTCAAATTAGTGATAAAGCGGACCAGATTAGATCGAAACCATCCAAAAAAGATGAATTCTCGGTTGATTCGTTTTATTGGTAGTTGGTGGGGCTAGGCAGGATAACATACCCCTTTTCCCTTCAAGACAGATTTGGAAATCCAATGTTCCACCTAGAATTGTTTTTTTCGCGTGGGAGGCTTGTAAAGAAAGTATATTGACACTTGATAAACTGAAGACTAGAGGTCAGATTGTGGTTAATGGGTGTTTTATGTGCAAGAAGGCTGAGTAATCTTGCTGCCACTTACTTCTTCACTGTGAGGTGGCCCACGATTTATGGTGCCAAATTTATAGATTGATTGAGACTAATTGGGT